CGGCTGCGGAGCCCCCGCGAGTCCCCAGGGCACCCCCAATCTTAAATGCCCCCGAGAAGCCGGGCTTTGAGGCCTTTCGGTCTCCTCTGCCAAACCCTGCTCACCCCAGTTCTTTCTTTCTCTCCTCAGATGTCTCTCCGGCTTCCTCCAGCTCTGGGACGCTCATCCAGTACACCCCCGACTCTGCCACTAGCCCCACTGCCGAGCGCCCGTCTCCCCATCCCTCGTTCCAGAAGGTCAAGGAGGAAGGTGAGGGTGTGGTGAAGAAGGCCAAGAGCCGCACAGCCTTCTCCCAGGAGCAGCTGCAAATCCTGCACCAGCGGTTCCAGAGCCAGAAGTACCTCAGCCCCCAGCAGATCCGGGAGCTGGCTGCTGCCCTGGGGCTCACCTACAAGCAGGTGAACATCTCGCTCTGAGCAGCTGAGTCACATCCCTGGTGTGAAGTGATCTTGCAAGAAGGCTTTTTTTTTTTTTCATTTTGGTGGTTTTTCTTAGACCCAGAGATGAGTTTCTTTCGTAGTTGTGTTTATGCCATTGCTTATGTGAGAGAGCAGAGGGTGTGAAATCTTATGACTCAGTTTTCCTCTTATGTTTGTTTCCAGCACTATCCACCCACTCCGTGCAGGTGTTTGAAAGTGCGCACAGAGCAGGGCAATGCAGTGTCAGGTTACTGTGCTGTGTGGACATGCGCTGTCTCTGAACATTGCTATGCAAGTTGCTTTTCTTAGTCAGTGGCACCTGGGTCTCTCCCTGGAGAGAGGGCCCTTTCCCCACCAGCTACTTAATCTCTGACCGAGGGAATGACTCAGCCCTGAGTCAGCACTTGGCATCAGCGCTGAGGTGCTGCTGAACAAACTGTGTTTCTGCAGGTCGTCTTGGCCTGTCTTTCAGGTGGGGTTTCTGATGCCATGAAAGATTCCATGGTGATCTGAGGAGCAAGAATATTTGTTTTTAAGTCTCTGCTCTGTGATTCTGCAGCTACCTGGGTCTCCCTGCATATTGTTAGCTGCTGAAATTATGTGCAGTATTAGAAGCCAAGCAGAAGCTGCATTGTAGTAGAAGGCAAAACATTTTTAGGATGTGTAGTAAGTTTTGAGAATGAATTTCTAATGCCCTGTGTTCTTTTCTCATCACTTCTAGGTGAAAACATGGTTTCAGAATCAACGGATGAAATTCAAACGTTGCCAGAAGGAGAGCCAGTGGGTGGAAAAAGGGGTGTATCTACCACAGGTGAGAGAATTCCCCCTTCCCCCATCACCACCAGTCACAGTTCCTCCAGTCTGTGGGGACAAGTGCATTGTGTCCAACCTGTGAACTCAAACAATGCACAGCACTCGATATTACTAAAGCAGTTGTATTTCTTGTAATAAGGCTTACAGCAGCATCTATTTTAAGCCTGCCCTGGCACTGAAAGAGCTTTGTTTCCAGTCCACTAACCTCCCAGTTGAGACTAGATAGAAAACAAAAATAACCAAAGAGGGGCCAGCAAGGCTACTTGCGCTGGTGTTGTCCCCGGTATGGTACTCCCAGACAAGGTTGAGTTGGGGTTTACTAACTTAAGATCTTGTCATCTCTGCTATTACTAGTCTATAGCAAGGACAATGAGTATGAAAAAGACACTGTTTGCTGTGGGGATAGGGGAGAAAGGAGGACCCATCCAAAAGAACGGGCATGGTTAGTGTGGTGTTCTGCATTACTGAACAGCCTTCTCTGTCTCTCCTAGAATGGGTTTCATCAGGCTGCGTACCTGGATATAACCCCCACGTTTCACCAGGGCTTCCCTGTAGGTGCCAGCAGGAACCTTCAGGCTGTGACCAATGTGCACCAGGCTTACAGCAGTGGCCAGACTTATGGGAATGGGCAGAGCCTGTACTCATTCATGGCTGTGGAGGACGAGGGGCTCTTTGGAAAAGGTGGGACAAGCTGCAACACCCAGCAAACCATGGGTTTATTAAGCCAGCAGATGAACTTCTATCACGGCTACCCTGCCGATATGGATTATGTCAGCCTGGAGTCAGAAGACACCTACGGCTTCCAGAGCACCTCTGACAGTGTTGCACCGTTCTCGAGCTCTCCTGTACGGCATCAGTACCAGGCCCCTTGGCATCCCCTGGGGTCCCAGAGTGGTTATGAGTCTTAGACCTAAGTATTTTATTTCCTCCCTTCTCACATTTTCTCTCATGTGGGGTTTCTAGGCTCTTGACTCAGGGATACAGTTTTCACTCCTTTCTTTTGCCCCTCCTCCCCTACTCCTGTTTTAACCATCGATGGGGCTCAGCACCCTGCTGCCTGGTTCTAGTTTTTCTGTTTAAAGGCACCTCTCTGTTCATAGCTAACCCGTGGCAAGGGTGTTTTGTGTGTGGATAGATGAAACTTCATTCATGGAGGGTAATGTGCAATGCCACAGCCAGGAGCAGCAGAGGTGGTAAAGGTCTGTGTCTGCTGTCCAAGTCTCGCCTTCCTCTGCCTCTTTCGCAGGTGATATCTGACACTTGCAGCAGAGCTTTGCTGGAGAAGAGACCCCTGTACTTCAGCATATTTCTGCTAGAAATACCCTGTTGTAGCCCAGAATATTTCCCGCCATCTTGCCTATTTCTGTCAGCTAACTGCTAACAGGTTCTTTGTCTGCATCCTCTCCTCCCTCACCAAAAAGCTACATGAGATCATCTGACTCCAGATGGTTTGATCCAGTTACTCCCAGCAACTCCTGGAGGGGTCAGTACCTGCAGCTGAGGGGAGGAGCAGAGGAGACAAAGTGGGGTAGAGTATTCCCAATATCTCACATGGAAACTCTGGTTTCCAAAGCTGCTAACTTACTTGTGTCTGTCACCTTGTTTTGGATGGTGTCTCTGGGACTGACCCCACTCAGTTTACATCTTGCCTTTCTATGTCTCTCTGCAGAGCGGCTGTTGGCTTGTCCCAACCTGCAAATTGCAGCAGGGGGGTAGCCCAAAGTGCAGTTGCTGGAAGGGTGGGGAGTGGCTGTGTGTGGCCATTCCTGGAGTGGTGGGAACAGTCTGCTTATCTGTACATGGTGGTTCCCCAGCACTGCACAAACATGGCACTGCTGCAGTGCAGCTTTCTCTGGGGTAGAGGTGGGCAGCTGAGTAAAGGACTGTTATTTTAAAGGTGATGTTTAATGTTACTTATCCTGGAAACCTGGGTGTTGGGTGTGGCGAATCCTGTTGGGTGCCAGTGGAGTTGTCATCCAGGGGGCTAGAGCAGGATAGTTCCCCACTCTTGTGTCTAATCCCAGTTTTAAGAATGTAAGCTAAGTAGGATTTTTGTCCCTTCCCCAGGCTTAGTTGGATCTCTTCTGTATTTTTCTGCTGAAAAAGGGCACTGGCTGCCTCATCCGACATAAATACCCAAGCCTGGGGGGAGGTGAGAAGTTTAGAGAAACCTAGTTAGACAAAGTGAGGAAAATGCCAATTAAAATTTTCAGTTTCTTTTTTTAAAGTAACTGAATCATCCTTTCCAGTGTGGAGAAACTGGTAGTCAGCTCCAGTCTTGTTACACTGACTTTTTTTTTTTTATGAGATGTGGAGTTGCAGAGCCCAGTCTGCCACTGCCCAAGAATACAGAAAGGCATGACATGGTAAAAGCATAAATACTTCTGTGGCAGAGTTTTTCTGTGGTTAGTGCACAGTTTTTACTGCAGCCCTGTCTTCAGATGTCTGCACAAGGGCTGTATGTTGTAGTTAAACTTTCACTGCAAAGGAGGTGAACATTTGTTGTTCCAAGATTTTTCTTAAAGTGTATTTTCTTGCAGTGATCTGAAGCATGTTTTATGTTATATGTGCATGTTGTCTTTTATTACCTTGTTTCTGCTTAATGTTTGGATTGAAAATAAATTACTTTATTTTGATGTTGAAACAGTGTCGCCAGTTTGCATTGGAACAGCCTGCTATGAGAAGGGTTATTCTGCCACGGATTAGACCAGTGGTACTGTGGAAAGGAGGAAAAAAGTAACCCTACTGTTTCTCCCAGAAGCAGGATCAAGTGCCTGTTTAAAAGGAGTAGGTCACAGAGGTCCATCAGCCTTGTTCTTAACATGCAGGTGTGTTGCCTCATGCAAGGGGGGCTCCGGGGTAGGCAACTGGACTGCCAGCTGCTGGCTTACAGTAATGTGTAGCCTCGTAACATGCTTGTGTTAGACCTTAAACTGTGATGCTTCAGAATACCTATTTCAATATGAGTGTAGGGGCAAAAGAAAGCATTTCTTGAGGTTGTGTGGCCACCTGCTGCTTCTCCAGAAGGTCACAGTTTGAGGTCTGGAAGTCCTGCCTCATTGAGGCTACTCTCTTGGGGCTTTTGTGTTAACCTCAAATGGCAGCAACAGCTTGTGTTTAAGTAATCCTTTGAATCCTGCCTCCAGCCCTGAAACAAAAATGTCTGTCTTTCCCTGCTTTGCCCCAAGACTGCATGTATCTCCTCTGAGAAGCTGGGAGCAACATTTAAAAGGTATGGAAATATGCAAGATGGACACATCGGGACAGAAGCAGTGGATCAGCAGCCACCAATTTAAAGACTCAATGAAACTCTCTCTGCTCAGTGAGCTTTGGTTCACAGACCCTTGCTTTCCCTATGTGCCTCTTAGTCTGAACACCTGTGCAACTTGCAGGGAGCCAAGGGCTGCAAGTGTCTGTGGGCAGCAGCACTAATGGAACAAAGCAGCTGCCTGTGTTCCAGGGCTGGTGCTACTGATGTGTCAGCAGAGCCAAGCTCCTGTTAATAGCCATGGTTTTAAACTAGCCAAAAATTATCTATTTGGGTTTAATTCCAGGTTCCTTAAACTACAATACACCACCAAAGCTTTTCATCTGTCTGAAAGGGGTAGCTCAACAGGTATTCCCACTGAGCACAACTAGCTAAACTGGGAGCTGACTGCTTGGGGTCAGACTGCCACAGGTCCTTTGCTGACCAGAACCTGTGTGTGTGGGTGCCAAAGCATGTCTGTTGTTGTTTTGCCTTACTGTAATGCTCTGCTTCCTAGGTGAGGTGGATTATGTGCAGGAAGGAGAGGGAGGGGAGGTTTGAGCCTGTAGAGGAGGGAGAAAGCCTGAGTTGTCCACACATGGGTTGTAAATCTGGCCTGGAAGAAGGGGAAATGCCAGGTGCACATGGTTTCTTGTATTACAAAACAGAGATCCTTTCTCATCCTGACTTGAGTCTCATGTGCCAACATCAGCTTGGATGAATTCTGTGTAATGCTCTAGTAGTAATGCTCTAGTAGTAATGCTCTAGTAGTAATGCTCTAGTAGTAATGCTCTAGTAGTAATGCTCATTTCAACAATTCCCTTGAAGGAAAAAAAAAGCTCAACTATATACTTATAAAGGACATAGATACTAAAGCTTTGCCTTTCAGCTTTAAAATTAGCAGCTTCCAGGTGTATTTTTTTAAGATGCAAACTTAACTCTAAAGAAGTACACAAGGTGTGTAGGTCTCTGCAGAATGATTGCAGAGGATGCTTGCTACAGATTACCTGCATTGCTTGGGCATGTTTCTCTTCCATGTTTCTGCCACAAGGGTAAGGAGGTAGCCAGAGCTCTGGCAGACATCCTCCTGCAGAGACCAATATTGTTGCTAAAATAGCCCTGGGACTGAGACGAATTGCTCTGTATGCTGTGGTTTGTGTTACTGCATGTACCATGGGACTGTTCCACAGAAATGGAGTGCTCCTTCCCAGGTGTGTTATTCCCTGGTTTCTCGGCCTGGGTTGCATGCAGGTTTGGCAGGCATGCATAGTTGCAGAGCTGGAGGGAACATGTGGAGTAGCTGTTGCTGGAATTTTGGCAGGTGGGCTGGAAAGGACTACTTAGTAGATCAGGAAGGGTTTCTAGAAGCTGTGGAATGAAGACTGCCTTGTCACAGTGCTAGAGGTCTCTTGTTACTTTGATGAGCCTGAGTCTCCCCACCCGGTGAAGCAGCTGCACAGGTGATTGCAGCACTGCTACCAAAATGGTGGAGCTGCAACTATTCCCTCCAGACTTGTACTTCTGAAAGGGTTTGTATCTGTTCCTCAGAGGAACTAAGTGTGTGTCAGCAAAAGCCCTTTCTGCTGTGATATATTGCATCTGTTAGGGCTGCTGCTTCTTGTGACTGCTGTGTAACAGTGATTTCTGCACACTGCAAACATGATTTGTCTTGCCAGCAAATCTTAAAATCAATCTGTAAGCTCATGTGGAGCTCTCCATATGTATTACAGCTTATGGGAATACACTGCACTTTCACAGCATCTCTGCAGTGTCAATGCTCCAGTGTGTCCATGCTGCAGGTGTAGCTCCAGCGGCACAGAGAATCCCACCCAAACAGAAGAAATTAGATCTAGTAGACCAGGGTTTATTCTCTAGTTTACTGGGTTCCAGCCTTTGCTGTCCCATAGGCAAAATGCCAAGTGGAGTGGTGCAAGAAACCTTATTCCTTGATCTCTGTGTCAATGTGGCCTGCAGCGATGTTTTACAAGCTACACATTTCTTCTCAGTGGCCCATGAGCAAGGGCTCACAGCTGCAGTTGTCTCTCTAGTGCAGATAAGGGGCATGATCTTTGCTTTAATAGGCTGTTCCCTACAGGCAAGTGTAAACATTTTTGGTTATTTAACTACACTACATGACTCAAATGCTGAGCTAACAGGGTTTTGGAAATTTTCAGTAAGGCATTGGCACATATGTCTGTCTTGTATCATTGGTGGCCAGCAGCGTCTTGGCTGATACTGAGCAGTCAAGAGGCATGAAGGACCCAAAATAATGGCACTGGTCTTAAAAACACACACATACAAAAAAGTTTTTCCTTTCCTGTGATGGCCATGTTATCTTCATGCTGTCCAAAGTTTCGAAGAGCACCCTTGCGTCATATCTGTGAACCTTTTTCATTACCATGCTAGAATTAATTTCTCATGTTTCATGGAATCCCATCTGCTCACAGACAGGGTGTGTCTAGCATCTGGGCTGTGTCTGAGTCACTACATCTTTTACAAATTACAACATCAGGACTGCTGCCTTGGAAAGACCAGAAAAAAAAGCAAGTCCCCTGTGTCTCTCTCTGGCTGGCTCTGGTGGCAGAGGGACTGCCTGCCACGGGAGCTGCATTCTTGTTGTTACTACACAGAACACTGGGAATGCAGCTCCTGATTCAGCAG